GAAGTAAATTCCTCACTGAGATAAAGCTTGTTAGTCGTCGATGAAATAACGAATACCACTTGCGGTATATAAAAAAATAATTTCCTGTCAAACTATTCTTGTTTTTAGCAAAATATTTTCTTCAATCCTAAGATATCAACGCTATGTAAACACTTCAAGAAAAGCTGCGAAAGTTCTTCGAGCCGGTGAAAAGAATCACTTTCCTTCAACTGTTAGTCGTTTATTTGAACGTCATCTGCATCCAATTGATATTGTTTTTCCGGAAAGAGCTGACAAATACAACTTGGTCGAATGAACCGATAACCTCGCCAGCGAACTGCATTCTCAAACATAGTTATAATTTCAGGCAAGAGACATTTATTCAGTTTTCGTGGCCCAATCGATAAAGCGCTTTTAGATTCCTAAATATGGGCAACGTAAATTCACATCCTGGTTGAAATTATTTATTTCTAATTCATTCTGGTTAAATATTCCGAATACTTGTAAAATTCGTCATGTTCTTCGAGTAATAGAATCTACATGCACTCAACTAAAAATTAACTAACATTTCCGCTTGTAATTAATATTATCTGAGCCGTGAACGTATTTGGAGTTGGGAATATTTAATCGGTGACGTAAGATATCTGAGGCTGTTTCTGATTGACGTTTATCTCTTTCCGTGTCTTTTGTCCAGATTAGTATCAAGTGAATTGTCCGGCTTTGGAAAATTCGGGGAAACATCAATCGTCTTGACTAAAGTAGTAACAGCAGAAAAAAATAAGAATGACAGGAGGAGGGCAATAGTCATTTCGAAAAAGAAGGAAACAAGACAAATGATAATGATAGAAGGAGAGAAAGGAATAAAATCCTAAAGAATGAAAGGAGAGGAAAAGAATAAAAGCAGATAGCGAAAAAAACAATGGCGGAAATTGCAAGAAGAAAAGAAATTGAAAAAAAAGAGAGAGAATGAAACAGAAATAAAGATGGGAAGTTAGATATACAGAGGGGAGAATTCAGATATGAAGACTTTTTTTTAACAATAAATTGTCAAAATAAAGCATTGGTATTGAACTAGAAAATGTCTTTTTTACTATTTTGTTTCTGTAATTTATTTTTATGTTATCTCCTTTCAATTCGCAGGCAATCATGGCCCTCCATAGATCGCTTTTTTCTTTTCGTCTGCGAATTTCTATTTCTTGGAAATGATAGTGAAGCGCTTATCCATTGCCTTTTTTATGGTTGTGAATTCAGAGTGTTCCTCCTTTTAGTCTGGTTGCTATAAAAGCCTAGAGAGCCCAGTTGACATTGCTACTTATAACGTCACTGGTGATTGGTATGAAGAAATCAATTCATTTTTTTTTTTTTTTTTTTACCAAGGACATTTTTGCGAACGTGGACGCGAAAGACTAGCTCAAAATTTAAACTTGGCTCAGCGATTACACATTTCACACCAATATCATTTACATTACCCCCACATAAATAGTTCTGGGATAATTATATTTCATATTACATCATTCGCTTTACGTGACGTTCCACCATGGCGATAGTAGATAGAGACAAATCCACAGAAACCTTTAGACTAAGTAATCAAAAAAAGCGAAAAGAAAGAACTAAACATCAAATGGAAGAAGACAGAATATATAACTATTAGAAAAATCATCTCCTGGTTCCACCAGGCCTGACCTTCACAGCTAGGACCCGCCATGCCACTTACATAGTAGCAAATAACCCACATTCCCTCCGTATTTCATCGGCGAAAAGTAAGTTCCACTCAGAGCTTCTTCCCGCAAACAACTGCCCAGTGGAACAGACTCTCAAGAGGATGATTCCACGATCACTACAATCTTAACTTGTTCAGTTCTAGAGTTAACCGTTATCTTCCCCCTCTATCCATATAAACTACCCCTTATAGTAACACCTCGTGTGGCCCTCGAAACTTGTACAGGGTGAACCTTACTGCAAAAACAAAGAGTAAAAAAGCTATGAAATGCAGTTGTCGAAATAGAGCAAATAATGAAATTTAACGTTTGAGAGTGTTCCAACAGACGACGAAAAATATGATATCGAAATACAAAGGTATATTGGAATAGTGAAAGATACCTTCCGAAATTTAAAATATATTAAAAATCAGGAAAATTTCTTTAGAAAGAAAGAAGGACTGCTAAACTACCATATTGCTACCATATCTGGTCTGGTGATATATCTCGAGATTCTTGACAAAATTCAGAGAAGAGTCTGTAATATATCGATCCAGACCTGGCATCACTTTCTTACCGACGTGATTTAGCTTTCCTCTGTCTTTTCTAGAAATATTTCCACGGCAACTGTTCTGATTAACTTTTCCCCCTAGTCTCTCGACTAAGGACTACATAAATTTAAGCGTGCTACTAGATTGGCAAATCGATCTCACCATTTTACTACTGAACTAGCTAGATGCAATCGTCTATTCTATTCTAATAGCTTCTTTTCTCGCATGCCTTGCCTGTGAATCTCCCTTTTGATTTCTTGGTTCTCTGTCACCTAAAATCTTCAACAACTGAAATTTAATGTCAATCGCTATCCTCTGTCTTCCTGAACCTTGTTCCTTTATTGTCATGCCCACACTTCTCCCCCTTCCATCCTTGCAAAACCCTGCGTGGCATTAACACCTTGCTTGGAACGAAATGATTAAAAAAATCAATCTATATGTTAGTAAATTCTGAAAAGGGAATTTAACGTCCTGGGTTTGACGATAAACTATATCAGGCAGTCAGGACCTCTGATCGACAGGTTTTGAGAAGCGTGGAACCACCTCTTTGTTGCTGTTGTTCCCAGGTCAGGATTAGTAGCACCTTATAAAATGCATTTTTACAGTAAGAATATCAGCAATACATTTCCATATTTAAAAAAAAATACTAGCAATACATTTTTGAAAAAGAAAAACAGCAATACATTTTTCGTAAAAGATATTAATTATACTCGCAAGAATTTCGGTATTAAATGATCCATAAGGAATTGATATGTCGCTAAACAAAAAAAAAAAAGAAGAAAAAAAAAAGAGATTTGAGACGACAGGGATGTGGTTCCGTAGAAGAATATTAAGAAAAAACAAGGACGGAACATGAATGCAACAATGAATTTTAAAGAAAATAAGAACAGAATGGGAACGTAGATGAAAAAAGATAGAGTTGAAATTTCTGAAACACATGATGGGGAAAGAGGGATTAAAGATGTTGATACTCAAAGAATATATTGAAGGAAATAGAGCTTGACTGAAACAAACTTAATAAAGATCATGTGTAAATGAATGACTGAACAGTGATTGGAAGTGATAGAGCTACAAAGGATAAGGAGTGGTAGAGAGTCGTGGTCATTCACGTCCTGAAGAGACACGGCACAGAAAAGAAGAATACAAATACGTCATAATGTAAACAAATGCACTCATTAGTTTTTTTGTACTTTTAAGGAGATATAGCAAAAGAAATCTAGCGAGGGTTAACTCAAATGACATCAGTTATGTGTTTCCATTATAAACCTTCTTTCTAAATAACAATCTTAATATGTACATAAGAATTACGAGACGTCAACTTTGTAGATTTGCTGTTATGTCCGGAAAGTATCCAGCTATTTAATATTAACGAACAAATATCCTACCTGGCACAATAATACCTTCGTCATCACTCAAGATCACTATTACCGCTCTCCTTAATCTCGCTTTCGAAGCCCCAGCGTTGATTTCTACTTGGGAAAATAACAGTTATGCAAAAAAAGACAGACGTAGGGCGACTGGATGTGAAGTATCTACCAACTACCTCATTCTGAATGCGAAGGTAACACCGTAACGAAGGTCATTCAATGTCATCTCCCTGCCGATTGAGTAACACCACATGACACTACCGGGGCATGTTGCAGTAAGGTTTTCTCTGCTACGTTTTACCAATTTCACGCAACCAGTTTCTGTAGTACGAAAATACCTGATATTTTTAGCGAACCTTCACACTCTAGCGTTAATTACTGCAATGCAATGTATATTAATATTAACTGAAAGATTTACTACCGATGTGTAGATATTTGCGTTCACGTGTGTGGAGCAATACTAAAATGTTCTCAAAGAATATCCACATGTCTGTAGAAGTGATTCTTATATTACTACGGTTTCTTTATTCATATGAGTTTATTCATAGACACACATCTGTGCGTATGTATAAATGTATTCGTTTGTTCATGATCTGGTTGATATAAAAGCATGCATTAAGAATGAGTATAAAACTTAAAATAGGAATGTTTTTCAAGAGTATCTTTTCAAACGGAGGGTATAATCTTACACAATATGGTCGCATTATTTCTATATTAATGTTGACTGATGAAGCAGAAAGCGTTCTAATGCTTTGTTTCCTCGCTGAAATGTGGAAATGGGCGGGGTAGAAAACCTACAGAAATACCTCGGCGCTTTTAGATAAAAAAAAAAACATCCAAATTCAGAAAGCTTCGATTGCGATCAGAATATTTTAATTCTGTTAATTCGGTTAGTTGCTGACGACAAGCTACCGAGTACATTTTCCCATTAATTCTTTAAAATTAATACCTAGCCATTGGCCTAAGCACCCCAAAAGAGATCGTTAATGAATGTTTTAGCATTTATTTTTAAAAGAACTGCACGCGAATGTACGCCTTGCCTGTTCATTCTCTGTGATCGAATATCAATGAAAATACAAGTAAAAGTAAGATTTTTGTGGGCATTGAGATATGAGAACAAGTGCAGTTTTCTTTTTTTTTTTTTTGATTTCTTGTCGAAAGATGCAATCAAATGCCATACGTGTCATATTTTGTTTCTTGCCAGTTTACTTGATATTTTCCTCAATTTATTCGCTTATATTCCCTTTAAACATAGCATATTAATATAACAAAAATAAAAAGAACACAATATATAGACAATTGTTCTGCTCGATAAAATTTTAATTTGTTCACTCTGTCTGATTTTATGGCATTTTATGATGAAAATAGATATAATAAATAAATCATCTTATCTTTCTTGGGTTTACGGCCGCATCCCGTTGAAGCACCGGTTCCCATAAGATCACCGAAGTTAAGCAACGCGAAGGCTGGTTAGTACTTAGATAGGTGACCACTTGGGAATACCAGGTGCTGTATGCTTGGACGTGCGCATGGTGTAATTTATAATGGCTTGGAATTGTCAATCGGCGAGCCAAGTTTCAATTTCCGTTAAGTTTTTTATATTCACTTGTGAAGGATATGAAGCCTACGCTTCTTCCTCCATCTATGCGTTAATTAAGAAGCCTTTTATCACTAAAATCATTATTATCTAAGAATAACACTTATAGTCTAAATGTGTATTCTGGCTTTAAGTAACCTACAAAGGATTGATAATATATAAAAACGAATCACTCAATTGTCATTCCTAATTATTATTATTATTCCAAAGACAAAAATAGGTATTAAGAAATATTCCACATTTTCCCAAATGCTTCAGTTCTGCAGATTTTAAATAGGGAGGCGCGTGGCACCTTTGGAAAGTACTTAAATACATACCACAAGTTAACCAAAGCCTTGAGAATGAAACTGGGTAGACGGGACTATTTCGAGAGCCGTCGATTGTTGTGCTAGCACGAAGTCACAAGACATCGTGACCAAGGGTTTGAACGTACTGGGCGTGTGGAGACTGTTGATCACGTCATATAATGCACTCTCTCCTAGAAACTAAGGTCCACTCAGTATATTTGCATTATAAAGTACAGGTTGTCTCTGTGGTGTTGAGCAAACAGAAATGCTTTATTAGGAGTTTACAACAGGGATCCAAAAGCCGCCCTATGCAAACAAGTATAATCGGATACGAGTTGCTAGTCATTATACATATATATATATATATATATATATATATATATATATATATATATATATATAAATGAAATGTATTTTGTATTGATTATTATTTCTATCGAGTAATTTTCATATATATATATATATATATATATATATATATATAAATGAAATATATATATATATATATATATATATATATATATATATATATATATATATATATAAAAACACATATAATGTAATTCCAACGAGAAAAAGTATGTATAATAAAAAAGAAAGAGAAGTTTCTTTTTTGGTTGTAATGTGGATTTATTTAGAAAAAATATTATATTTGTTTTACATAATTTCATTATGAAATTTCAGTGAAATTATGTAAAACAAAGCATAATATTTTCTAAATAAACATTACAACAAAACGTACCTCTATATATATATATATATATATATATATATATATATAAAATTACTCGATAAAATAATAATTAATACAAAATACATTTCATTTAATCACAATTTAGACACCTAATAAAAAATGAAGCCGTATCTGTGTCTGCGTGCGTACGCGTGTGTGTGTAATGTGCGTGTAAAGAGAGTGAGAACGTGTGTACATAGGAATCAACACAGTATGGTGCTAGTCATTTTCACACTTCAGTACGATTTTAAGAGCAAATGCCTCGGCTACTTCCCAGTTGATATGTCTATATTAATAAACGGTCTATCATTGATAATGAGCATTCTTTACATATAGCTACATCAAATTTTAAATATATATTTATATGTGTTCGTGGGTCTGGCTGTGTCATATGTCAGATATAAATAAAAATGCAACAATACAAAATTCAAATATAAAAACATATAGAATATAGAGTATAATTAAAAGAAAAAACTAGGTAAACCTTTTATACCAACGCGTTTCATTCCTTAATGAACTTTATCAAGGCTAGTGCGTCAAATCACTTGCCTTGATTGGAACTTGTTCCGCTCATTAAACAAACGCGTTAACAAAAAATCTTCTTCATATATACATATATATATATATATATATATATATATATATATATATATATATATATATATATATATATATATATATATACATACATATATATATATATTTTACTTATTTAAAATATGATTCCATCGCTACATCACTTATATATATATATATATATATATATATATATATATATATATATATATATATATATATATATATATTTGGTTGGATAGATGTGACATCTATCAACCAAATATATTAACTCTATCTCTGATATTGAGCGCTTTCTAATAAGTACTGCGCATATAATATATAAATAATTATACATACTTATATATATATATATATATTGAATAGACATCAGGGAAATGATTTGGCCTCTTTTCTTCCTAAAGTTGTCAAAAAACTCGCATGAAAACCGTTTTCACCATCTTCTGTCTTTGATAATTTTCATTCGATATTGTAGTTGCTTTTACAGAGAATGCGTATTAGCTTGTTTTAAAGAAATCAGATTATTGTAGATTTTAATTTAACCAAAACATAAACAAGCGTGAGTGATAAAGGAATTTATATTTTCAATTGAAAATACACTAGCGAAAATGAAAATCTTTCACAGTATTGATAATAGAAAGGTTTTAAAGCGAATTACTGCAAATGCATTCGTATTTGTTCAAAATGCCCTTAATATTGATTTGGATTCCCTACGGAAAAAATCCCATTTAAAAGAAAAAAAAAACTTACTGCAGTTATTTCCCTGTTGAACTCCGGGACACAATGTTCAGCTGAAGTTCAATTTTGATTTCTTACTGGTAGACATCAAATGAAAGCCAAAATATGACGTAAAAATATAACAAATTCGAAATAGAATATTTTTCCTGAATTTTGTCATCTTGTACATCTGACCTGCTATATATGGACTGGTGTTTGTATCTGAGAAATATAAGTGAAAAATGAACAAGAAAATATACTCTAATCAAGAATTGAAAGTGTTCGTAAATATATGTGCTAGAAGAGGGCACACACAGATACATACATAAAATTCGCTTGAAGATGAAACAGAACTAATGCTTTTAATTTAATTATATAATTAAATTTGAAGTTTTTAGCTTCAGTTTTTGAAACATGGTAATTCCTGTGTAGCGAAGAAATCATATCTTAAATCAGTTAATTTATAATATTTATGCTTTGAAAATTTACATTGAGCACTGTTTTGTAAAAATAAAAATAAAAATATCAGTAAGAACAGCGGATTATATATTTTACTGTTCTTTCTTTTTATTAATATATATATATATATATATATATATATATATATATATATATATATATATATATATATATAATGGAAAAATGATCTGACATATTTTAAGGAGTAATAAAAGCGAAATAGAGTAAAGAACAAAAAAATGTGTTTTTATTTTCCGAAATGTACGTATAATGCAATTTTGTTTCATTTTGTTTTCAGTTGCCAACTTGATTTTGATGGGCAAGCATCGCGCTTTCATTGAGCAAACGTTTATCAAGAACAACAAATCGGCAACTGCAACACAAAGAGCGTTGCCCCACCCGATCATCTGATTTGAACTCTGCGATTTTTTTTTTCTGTGGGGATACCTGAAATCAAAGGTATACACTCATTACCTTTGATCTATTGAACAATTAAAAGATGCCATTCGTCAAGAAATTGCAGCCATTCCACATGAAAGGACCCGTCGAATTATGGACAAGTGTGTGGAAAGTAACGGGACCCGCTTGACTGTTTTAATTTTTAAAAGGAAATGAAAGAAAATGATATTATACGTACATTTTGACAATAAAAACATATTTTTCGTTCTTTACTCTATTTCGCTTTTATTAAATATACAAAAGTGTCAGATCATTTTGCCGTACCCTGTATAGGCTGAAGAAGTAACGGATTTTTATTTATTAAGCAGTGTTTATTACTGTAAACGTTATTTTAGTGGATCTTCATTACTTGAGTAGACGCTCGGTTTATATATATATATATATATATATATATATATATATATATATATATATATATATATATATATATATATATATATATATATATATATATATATATATACATATATATATACATATATATATATATACATATATATATATATACATATATATATATATATATATATACATATATATATATATATATATATATATATATATATATATATATATATACATATATATATATATATATATATATATATATATATATATATATATATATATATATATATATATATATATATATATATATATATATATATATATATATATATATATATATATATATATATATATATATATATATATTCATATATATATATATATATATATATATATATATATATATATATATATATATATATATATATATATACAAACCGAGCGTCGGTTAGCGGATAATTTTTCTTTAATAAAATTGCCCGAATATTCAGGTCAGTAGATGAAAATAAATATACTGTTTAATGAATAAATAACATTTAAGTGATCAAAAACTGATACGAAACTGAACAGATGTGAAAATTTCGAGAAGTCTATGACGAGAGGTATTACGTATTGCATGATCGGTTACTTATAGCTCAGTCCGTCTAGAGCATGTCGGATCCAACGAAGGCTCCCTCTTTCCAGGGAAATGTAGGTTTGAATCCTGTCGCAGAACGCAGATTTCTCTGTAATAAGATTTCTCGAATATTCGGGCCGGTAGACGAAAATGAATAAAAGAGTGGTCAATATAGAGTAGATAAATATTATTTATTTTAGAATATTATACCGAAAACATGTAAAAATGTTTTCGTTGTAATACGTAATATATATATAAAATGGAACAAAATTTGTAGGGCTTTTGAATAGGTGGAGTCTGACCATTGATTCATTTTGTTAATGCATTATTTTATAATCTTACAATATCTTTTATTACTATTATACAAATGATTGAATCTGCGTTAGGATCGATCCTTAAGGAGAAATATCCTTTTGTATTATGGCTTCCCAAAGTCCTGACAAGTAAATGCCCATTTCCCAATAAAAAAGAAAATAGAAAAATATGCATACCTACTCAAATACGTTAAACCACAAAATATAATATAATGTTTTTTTAGTAATACTATGTATGTGTTTTTGTTTGTATTTGTGTGTATGTATGTGTGTGTGTGTGGAGAGAAAGAAAGAGAAGTGGATCGAAAAAAAGTGCGATAGATTAAGGAGAGAAATACAAGGAGAAGTAAAGAGAGGAAAGAATAGTAAAGGAAGAGAAAATAGAGAAAAAAAATCTACGTGGCAAGGCT